TAGGTCGACGCTCAACCATTGAGCCATGCTGGCTGAGCCAAGGAGTAATTTTTAAAACATTCTTGTTACAGTGGATGGGTGCCACTATCATTCCTCTTTTGCCAAGCCAAACATTTACACACACACACACACACACACACACACACACACACACACCATGCTTATTTAATATACTTAAAATGATGACATCTTATTCTTTCAATTTATAACAATTAGATTACTAGTAGGGTTGAACATTCTTTCATATATCTTTTAGCAATTCATGTTTATCTAAAAATTCTCTGCTCATGTCTTGCTATTGGAACAATCCCCTCACTACCTCCCTTCTTCCCCCATCTCATCCTTCTGGTCTCAGTTTATTTATTTACTTAAAAAAATCTTTATTATTGAGACTATTACAGATGTCTTCCTCCCCCCCACCACCCAATTACCCTCCTCCACCCACTTCCCACCCTGTCTCAGGCCTTCACCACCCTACTGTCTGTATCCATAGGTAAGATCTTTAGTTAACCTCTTCCCGCTCCTCCTCTCCCTTCCCTCTGAGATTCGTCAGTCTGTTCCATGCTTCCATGCCTGATTCTATTTTATTCACTAGTTAATTTTGTTCATTGGATTTCTTGTTCATTTATTTTGATTTTTAGATTCAATTGTTGATTGATATATATTAGTTGCCATTTTATTGTTCACATTTTTTTCTCTCTTCTCCTTCCCTCCACTTCCTCCTCCTCCTTCTCTTCTTCCTCTTCCTCTTTTTAAAGAATACCCTTCAGCCCTAACCAGTTTGGCTCAGCAGATAGAGCGTTGGCCTACGGACTCAAGGGTCCCAGGTTCGATTCTGGTCAAGGGCATGTGCCTTAGTTGCGGGCACATCCCCAGTGGGGAGTGTGTAGGAGGCAGCTGATTGATGTTTCTCTCTCATCGATGTTTCTGACTCTCTGTCCCTCTCCCTTCCTCTCTGTAAAAATCAATAAAATATATTTAAAAAAAAAGAATACCCTTCAATATTTCATGTAATACTGGTTTGGTGGTGGTGAACTCCTTTAGCTTTTTCTTGTTTGTGAAGCTCTTTATCTGACCCTCAATTCTAAATGAGAGCTTTGCTCGGTAGAGTAATCTTGGTTGTAGGTCCTTACTATTATTCACTTTGAATATTTCTTGCCACTCTCTTTTGGCCTGCAAAGTTTCTGTTGAGAAATCAGCTGACAGTTGTATGGGCACTCCATTGTAGGAAACTAACTCCTTTTTCTTGCTGCTTTTAAGATTTTCTCTTTGTCTTTAGCCCTTGGCATTTTAATTATGTTGTGTCATGGTGTGGGCCTCTTTGGGTTCTGCTTGTTTGGGACTCTCTGTGCTTCCTAAACTTCTAAATCTATTTCTTTCACCAGGTAGGGGAAGTTTTCTGTCATTATTTCTTCAAATAGGTTTTCAATATCTTGCACTCTCTTTCCTTCTGGCACTCCCATAATGCTAATGTTGATATGCTTGAAGTTGTCCAGAGGCTCCTTACACTATCTTCATATTTTTGGATTCTTTCTTTTTTGCTCTTCTGATTGGGTGCTTTCTGCTCCCTCATATACAAATCGTTGATTTGATTCTTGGAATCCTCTACTGTTGAATCCCTGAAAACGGTTATTTCAGTTAGTGTATGCTTAATTTTGGACTGGTTCTTTTTCATGTCTTTGACATTCTGACTAAGAGCCTTGAAAGTCTCATGAAGATCCTTGAGTAACCTTATAACCATGGTTTTGAATTCTGTATCCAGTAGTTTGCTTGCTTCCATTTCTTTCATTTGTGACATGTTTCTTTGTCTCCGCATTTTGGCTGCTTCCCTGTGTTTGTTTCTATGTATTAGGTAGAGCTTTATGTCTCCTGGGATTGGGAGAGTGGCCTTGTGTAGTAGGTGTCCTGTAGGGCCCAGTGGCTCAGCCTCCCCAGTCATCTGAGCTGGGCACTCTAGGTGCACCCCTGTGTGGGCTGTGTGCACAGTCTTGTAGTTGAGCCTTGATTGCTATTGGCATCATTGGGAGAAATTGACCTCCAGGCCAATTGCCTGTGAGGACCAGCCGTGACTACAGTAGGGGAGCTGCTATACAGGAAACACCCCTATGGAGCAGGACTTGCTTCAGTGGGGCTTTGGTGCTCAGAGTCTGCCTCTTGAGTGTGTTGCTTGTGAATGTGTAGAGTTGTAATCTGCTATGGTCTGAAACTGTCCACTGAGTGCACTGGCTCTAGGGCCTCCAGGGAGGTGCAAAGTCAGCCACTCCCTGGGGCCACCTGGCAGGAGCTACATAGGGATCTGCAGGTGACTGCTATTTGTTATTTGTATTGGGCTTGGAGGTAGGCTCAGCTGTGAAGCAAGGCAGGCTGGTGCTAGTGCTGGGTCTTTTATTGATAGGTTTGGGGCATGCTGTCACCATTTGCAACTTGTTTGATTTTAGCAAAGTCTGAAGCCTGAGCCAAAACAGGCCATTCATTTGAAAAAGCTGCTGCAAACAGCTTGGGTGGAGCTGCAAATTGAATGGGGTGAGATCTCAGGGAATCCCAAGGGTGGAACAAAGTGTGTTTCAGGCTAATGGAGACTCAGATATGGCTGCCACTCAACCCTACGACAGGGCATCACCCATCCACAGGCCTTGAGGACCAGATGGCCTGACACTTCTCATCACTGCCCTGCATGGCAGCCTTTAAGTACTCCAGGTGTGCGAGCCAGTCCTCTGGTGCCAATAACTGGTGGACCCAGTCAGTAATTCTGGAGGAATAGGAGAATAACATTGGCAGCCAGTTTTGTTGCTGGTGTTAATGGGTACTGTAAGCTTGAAATACAAATCGATAAAAGACAACTGTTCTGTGGTCCTTTAAGTGTTGGTTTTTGTTATTTATTCTTAATGTTTTTATTGAATTCAGAGAGAGGGAGAGAGGATAGAAATATCAATGATAAGAATCACTGATTGGCTGCCTCCTGCATGCCCCCTATTGGGGATCAAGCCTGAAATCCAGGCATGAGCCTGACCAGGGGAATAGAACTGTGACCTCCCAGTTCATGGGTCAATGCTCAATCACTGAGCCATACCGGCTGGGCTGTTACTGTCTTTTATTATTATTTTTTTAAATATATTTTATTGATTTTTAACAGAGAGGAAGGGAGAGGAATAGAGTTAGAAACATCGATGAGTGAGAAACATCGATCAGCTGCCTCCTCACACCCCCTACTGGGGATGTGCCCGCAACCAAGGTACATGCCCTTGGCCAGAATCGAACCTGGGACCCTTCAGTCTGCAGGCCGATGCTCTATCCACTGAGCCAAACCGGTTAGGGCTGTTACTGTCTTTTAATTAGGACTCAGGATTGTACTGTATCATAAAATGTTTTGTACCAAAACAAAGCTTAGAGCTACATGTTTAAAAAAATAACAAGAAAGGAGCAATAGGCAGAAAAGATGAAACAAAACTACTACCAATACTTGTAGATGGTATAATTTTTAACCACAAAACGTAATAGAACTGAGAAATTACTGAAAATTAAGAACATTCAGTGACGTGGCTAGTTTCACAAATATGTAATTAAAAATAACTTTCCTATATAAGAGCAATAACTACAAAAATATAATAAAAAACTATTTACAATACAAATTGAGAAAAACGTACTCGGGAATCCTATATAATAAAAGCCTAATATGCTAAGTGTTCAGTCGTCCAGCCAGCTTTCAGCCAATCAAAGCGTAATATGCTAATGATATGCTAAGGCTGCTCAACTGCTCACTATGACATGCACTGAGCACCAGGGGGCAGATGCTCCGACTGGTAGGTTAGCTTGCTGCTGAGGTCTGACCGATTGGGACTGAGCGAGATGAGCTGGACAAGCCCTGGAGCCCTCTTGTGATTCCTCCCCGGCTGACCAACCTCCTGCGTCCCTCGGCCTGGCCTGCACCCTCTTGCAATCTGGGACCCCTCAGGGGATGTTGGAGAGCCAGTTTCAGCCCGATGGCAGAATGACTGGTCACTATGATGCACACTGACCACCAGGGGGCAGACGCTCAACGCAGGAGCTGCCCCCTGGTGGCTAGTGCACTCCTACAGGGAGAGCGATGCTCAGCCAGAAGCTAGGCTCATGGCTGGCAAGGATAGCAGCGGTGGCAGGAGCTCCCTGCAGGCCTAAGCTGTCAGTTAGACATCCCCTGAGGGCTCCTGGACTGCAAGAGGACGCAGGCCAGGCTGAGGGACCCCACCTGGAGTGCATGAATTTTGTTCACTGGGCCTCTAGTACTCTAAGTGAAAAGGCATGTTTCTGGTTGGGAAACAAAATTTGTAAACAAATTTTCCCATAGAGCTTAGAGGATTAATTTATTCCAATCAAAATACCAATGTAAAAATTTAGGAAAACCAAAAAGAGCAAAACTGAACAAGAATCCTTAAACTCACACACCATAGGATCGGTCCCATGAAGGCACCGCTGGCCTTGCTTTGGGAAAGCAAGTCAGGAAAGTCTGATATCAGGCCAAAGAGAACAAATATCTACAACAGTGAAGACACAGGAATCCTGTCTCTTGAGGGACAATGTGACCTAACCAATGTGACATAATTTCTACAAATAAAACACTTTGCTTGTGAGGTAGTGACCACTCATTGCCAAAGGCCTGATAACTGCTTAGAGGGGAATTAAGCATATGGTAAGGTTATTGAGTAACCATGGATCCAAGCCAATGTGTTCCTCCTCCTTTTCAGGCTCTTGGGATTCCTTCCTAGTAAGTCTTCTTGGCTCAGCAGAGGAACATGATTCTGAAGAGCTTTTCCAATAGTGGAGTTGGGTGGCTGGATCTGAGCAATCCAAACTTCTTTTGTGGCAAGTGAAAGGCATCAAAGAGCTGTTTGAGCAATTGCGAGCTGAACAAGAACAGTAAGAGGAGTAGACATTTTAAAATTACATTGTGAAAAGGATTTTTATAAAAGTCACTTTTCCCCATAAATTGCAAACAACTGACAGATCACAAATAACAATAAGCCTTTGATATTCAATTGCTATATTTTCCTATATTCCAAAGCAAAACAATCCCTTTCAACACTCAAGCTTTGAAGGGTGTTCTTAGAGGGTTACACGAATATAAGCTGTTGGCTTAACAATCAGTAGTTTGGGTCTTTCAGAATACCAGTCCAGAAAGGATCTTTGCATTCTATCTTCTCAAGTGTGTAAAAGAAGATATACTTTCAGTACACAAGAGTTACTCTGTTCACTTTGCAGGTAAACAACCTCCAGACTCATATTTGAAGTTTTTCATGGGAAAAAGATGTGACCTGTACATTGTAGTATAAGCTCACAAAGGAAAGCTCCTTAGTCTCAAAAGCTTGGCTGCTAGATGAGGTATAGATCTTGAGGACATTTTCTTCCCTGTGAATTTTCTAAAAATTTGAGGTTTAGCCAAGATAGGCTATAATTTGGGCTATTATGAGGGTCTCATATATCTGTATCTTTACAGATAGCCTGGGAATTCAGAATTCCTTATGAAACATTTCAGGTTGAGGCAGGACCATCGGACCTTTCCCGATCACACTTCTGCTTTCGGGTCTTACATGCTGAGTGGGTTTTTTCATGCCGGGTACAGTTTGACAGCCGACCAAATCTTCTCCCACATTTTTTGCAACCATAAGGCCTCTCAACCACATGACTCTGCAGATGAAGCACAAATTCTTTGTTTTCTGGGAAGGTTTTCCCACATTCTGGACATTTAAATACCTTCTTCCTTACATGGATTCCTTCGTGGCGACTACGATGAGAATTTTGACGAAAATTTTTTCCACATTTTGAACATGAGTAAGGTTTCTCTCCTGTATGGATTCGCTCATGTTTATTAAGGTTTGTTTTATGATTGAAGCTTTTCCCACAGTGACTACAGTCATAGGGTTTTTCTCCAGTATGAGTCCTCTGGTGGGAAATAAGGTAAGAACTTTCATTAAACTGTCTCCCACACAGTGGACAAGTGTACCATCTTCTTGATCTCCGATTTCGGTTAAGTGCAGTAATATTGATATCCACAAATTTTGAGAGTTCCTCTAGTGGAGTATCATTTTCAATGGTAATTAAAAGATCTCTCATTTTCCTTTCATTTGAAATGGATGTATTTAGTGTTTTTTCTTTATGGCAATCTAGAGGTTGCTCAGAGACCACAAAACAATCCATTTCATCACAATCTGAAGAATCTTCTATATGATCTTCACCCTCAGGATTACTATCATTGACTGCTGAAACAAAAAAAGAGAATTTAATAACTTTTGAGGGATATGATACCAGGAGGGGAAAAAAACAAGTTTGATTTTTCATTAAATAACCTTAAAAGTCACAAATCTGAGGACTGGCAGATAATTGCCACCAACATTCCTTTTATACTCTTATGAAGGGTGGGATACAGGACTAATAAATCTTTCCATACCCCATAATATAAGCACACAGTAGTCTTTTTACGTGAAAGAAAAAATGAAATGAGTGAGACTATACGTGTACTCAATGAGTTCATATTGAGCTTATATGTGTAAAGCATTGAGCTAAGTACCAGGGGATGAAGGACATAAATACTAAAGGATACCACTCGTAATCTTTAGGCTAGTAAGTGAACGGTAAGATGACTTACTTCTAGGTTCTCACTACATTAACTATTATATTACTAGGAGCCCAGCGCACGATTCGAAATCGCACCGCGCCGCCCACCCTCCGGTCTGGCCCTGCCTCCCTCTACCGCCCTTGAAGCAGCTGCGGCCACTGCTGATCAGGCCCTCCCCCAGGGCAGGCACGCGGAGGCCCCTGCCGCCCCTGCCACCCTGCCCTGGACGCTGCGCACACAACCTCCTCCTGTTCGGTCTACCCGTTATAGTGTCCTGGTTAATTAGCATATTTCTCACTAAAATGTCCTATATAGTAAAAAACCGTAAACAATTAAAATACCTCAAAATAGAGAAGATGTCATATATTCACACAATAGATTATTAGTTGGGAATCAAAGTGATTACTACAACTGATAAAACTATGGTAGAAGTCAACAGTGGCATTTTGGGGAGAAGAAGGAAGTAGTAATAGTAACTGGGTGAGGCACAATAGGAATTTCTGCAGTGGTAGAAAGTCAATTTTGGGTGATAGTTAGATAAATGTAAATTTTGTGAAAATTTGAGTTATACACTTACTTGTATACTTTTCTGTATTTGTATTATAGTTCCAAAAAAACTGTAAATAAGATTATAATGACTAGGTAGCAAAGTGAAAAACAGTATGCTGTAAACAGATTGGGTGACAAGGGACCCCTAAACTCTGGCCAACTTACTGAGAATAAAGTAAAAAGGTTAAATCAACTGCTTAGGCCTCAGCAGTTGAGCATCGACCTATGAACCTGGAGATCAAGGTTCGATTCCCTGTCAGGGCACATGCCCGGGTTGTGGGCTCAATCCCGTGTGGGGCATACAGGAGACAGCTGATCAATTATTCTGTCTTATCAATGTTTCTAGCTCGCTCTCCCTTTTCTTTCCTCTCTGAAATCAATTTAAAACAAAACAAAACAAAACAATCAACTATTGAGATATGTGGCTGACCCAAAAGCTAGAATGTGAATCTCTACTGGATTTAGTAATTTCACACACTAATGTATTTGTTCTATTTAATTATTCCTTTTATTTATTTCCTTAGGATAATGAAAATGCTGGGTAAAGCATATGCCAATTTTTATCACAGGTCTTGATATGAACTGCCAAAATGCCTTCCATAGAAGCTACAGCAATTTCAATACAACAATATCAATTATGTGTAACAACTTAAGCTAATCTTGCCAGTACTAAATACCATGTAAAATATTTACTAAGTATAATGGTTTCTCATTGTAGCTTTATTTTGTACTTTATTACAAACTGTTGGGCTAAAACTTTTATAAATTCAAAGAAATTTTATATATTATAAATTCTAAATCTTTGTCAATGACTATTGATGACATATATATATATATTTCGATATATATACCCATATATATTTAACTTCTTATCTAAGTTCCTTTAAATTTAAATAGTTGCAACTAGCTGGTCAGTGTGTCTCAGTGGTTGAGCTTTGACCTATGAACCAGGAGGTCAGGGTTGGATTCCTGGTAGAGGGCGTGGAGGAGACAGCCAATCAATGATTCTCTCTCATCATTTATGTTTCTTTTTCTCTCTCCCTCTCCCTTCCTCTCAAATTAATAAAAAATATATTTAAAAAATAATAAAATAAAATAGTTGCAATCAGTTTATATCTGGTGTATTATAAATATTGACAGTTTAAAATAATGGAATAATGTATCTAAAGAAAATAACAAAGCTACTGATACGCAATATTATCCATCATCAAGCTGATCTTCAACACTCAGAAATGTTATAGCGTTCTTTCTCCTTACACATTCCACCTTTGTCACAGAATATTTTCATGTAAACTATTCTTATATTTGAAAATCTCTTACTGATATAATTTCATCCTTCGAGTTAAAATTTTTCCTTTTGGATTGAATTACTACTATTATTATTAATACTATATAGCTTATCAAAAGACATAAATACTGTAAATTTTAAACATAAAAAGAAAAATTGGAAATTCTGTTAATGAAATGGAGGATTTAAAAATTTTATTTCATGTTTTTGTGGGTGAATAATTATTGCTGAGATTGGGTTCAGGATCAATTCTAATCTCTTTTTTTAGTGAGCTCTGAGAATCTTTGTTCATATATAAATAGATGAAATTGACGCAAATTTTACTATGAAAGGATGTCATTCAATTCTTTGAACTATTTCCACTTTACATGCCAAACCCACAGTGCCACATTTCAAGTATTATTTTTGTGACCAATCAGCTCACAACTCAATTGGATCCTCCTCAATTTTGTTGAAAGCACAGAAGTGAAAAGCATCCTGAATTATGAAAAGATTTGTTTACCCATCAGTAGAGACATCAATTTTTAAATTTTTTGGGAAATATATAAAAAAGACTTTTCTAACACTAATCAAGTAACTATTAGTTATACCTCTTTTCCATTTGCATGCATCTTCTTTAGCTGAATATACTCACAATAGGTTGGGAAAACTAAGACATTGTTAATTATATTCAATATTGTTAACGTGTTTTCAATAAATTGAGTTAAATCTGCAGCTTGCATGTTTTTTAAAAAGGTGATGAAATGTTTTAAATTGAAGTCTTCCTCTAGAATAACTCAACTTAAAATGAGGAAAAAAATAAGTTTTCAAAATTTGATCAATTTCTATTGTGTTTTCTGGCCATTTTTTAATTACTTCTTTTTACAGTTAACTCATATATTTGGAGTTTTGTTGTTGTTTTTGGCATTAATCTTACAAATTGTATAAAGATTTGTGTTTCTCTTCAGTAACAAAAAACCAAGGGCTACAAGAGTGGTTGTATATAGAAAACACAGATATGCTTCACCTGCAAACAGGGTCCTGACCAGACAAGGAAACAAGAGAAAAGGGCACAGAGAAGGGGAGGGGGTCCTTCTCCCAGCACAAATCTACAGGCAGGGGCTGGATTCACACAGGCTTAGGAGAGGCCGAGGTCAAAAGGCATGTGCCAGTGCTGGCTGTATGTGGGGAGTGCCAGTAGGAGCCTGTGTCTGTCCCACCCCACCTTAGTTGCTCTTCAGGCTTTGGCCCAGATGGGATTCTGGGTGGGGACCAGGGCCAGCTGGGACAACTGGTGAGAGAGTGAGGGAAGTAATTGCTCCCTGGAGTCTGCTGTGGAAAACTGAAGCCTGATCAGTGTGCCCATCCTCTTGCCGCTGGCTGGCCTTGCCCATCCTGCCACCCTTCCAGCCCCATCCAGAGGTCCACTGGGACCCAAGAAGAGCAGGTGTAGCAGCCAGGGCTTTGAGCTTTCCTGGGGTGGGGAGAGGGGAGACAGGAGGTGCTGCTGGACTCCTTCTTAAGCCCCAGCTGAGCTCAATAGGAGGGTGGGATCGTGTAGGACATCATGGTGAGGGGTGAGCAGAGGACAAGGATGTGCATGCACACATGGACGAGGTGTGCGTGGTTAAAGGCACTGCAGTCCGCTCAGTTTCTGTCTGTTGGTAGCAGGCGGCATGCTGATGTCCACCACATTGTTGCCTAGGGACTAATGGGCTGCACGATTTCCAATCTGTTTTTGTGATATAATGTGGTAGATCTCTTTGATGATGTTCTTGAAAGCTTCCTCTACACCGGTGAAGTCCAAGGCTGAGCTCAATGAAGGACAAGTTGTTCTCTGCAAAAGCACAGGCCTCATCAGTGGGCACAGCCCTCGGGTGGCATAGGTTGCTATTGTTGCCCACCAGCAATATAATGAAGATGCTGTCGGTATGTTCCCATAGCTCCTTCAGCCAGTGCTTGACGTTCTCTATGTCAGGGGCTTGGCAATGTCATAGCAGCGTGCCCACTGCACCAGTAGTAGGTGGAGGCGATGGTGAGGTAGTGCTCTGGCTGTGGTGTCACAAATCTGCGCCTATAGTCTTGCTATCCACCTGGATGCTGTGGGTGGCAAACTCCACGCCAATGGTGCTCTTGCTCTCCAGGTTGAACTTGTAGGTGAAGCAAGACAGACAGCAGGTAGCTCTTCTCCACCCTGGAGTCCCCGATGAGCACCACTCTGAATAGGTAGTCGTACTTGTCTTCCCCAGACCCCACTGCCCTGCTGCTTCCTGCAGGATCCCCTGCAGCCCCACCACAAGCACCCCCATTTGGAGTTTAATATCACACTTTTGTTTATAATATGTCTGAAATTGGTAAAAGCAGCCAGAACATGAATCTAAATACAGTATAAATAAATTTGGAGGGCAGTTATCTTTACATTTTAATTTTCCCATTTACACCTGTGTCTCTCCAATATTTAACAATCTTTTTTTTATATTTACCAACAAAGCATTTCTAGTTTACTTCTATTTTATAGTCACTCTGAATGAGAGGTTTCATTGTTTTCTACCTACTTTAAACTATTTAATATAAATTTTAGTCAATTCTTTTAGATTTTGTAAGTACAAATCGGGGTTTGTACTAAGTACAAAAAGGGTTCCTTCCCTTTCCAATATTTCTTCTTCTTTTTTATATTTTTATTGATTTCAGAGAGGAAGGGATAGGGAGATAGAAACATCAATGATGAAAAAGAGTCATTGATTGGCTGCCTCTTGCACGCCCCCTATTGGGGATCGAGCCCGCAATCCGGGCATGTACCCTGACTGGGAATCAAACCCAGGGCCTCT